CACCATTGTTTAGCGCTGTTAATTCGTTTGCTACAAGTCTGGGTACAGACTGTTTCGGAACTTAACTTTCTTTTTAAACGATGGTAAACGTCATCCATACCGTGGTCAACATGGGATTTAAGGCCGATGGTGGAATATTTCAAAGCTTGAATCAAAATAAGAAAATTTCGCTCTTCTTCTGCGCAGTTCTCCATTTCTCCATTGAAGGCGTATACAAGAAGACGTTTGACGGAAGTCTAACTTTTTCGGTTCATCGAACCCGTCAACATAGAATATTTCTCTTCATGTCGGCAATGTAATATATGAACCAATGCGACGTTGTACACTTAACAAAACTTCTAAGTGTTCACTCTAATAAAAGTATTTATTTATAAACTACAAGATAGAATGGTATGATATTTTCAAATTATTATAACCAGCGAGTCTTCTCAACAATGTTGAAAGAAAATCAATTATCACCGATGAAAATCAATGTACCGTGACGAAGCGTAAAAACAATAAATCTGTATTCTGCGGCAAGTGTTTTGTGTGATCAGCATCTTTTTGTGACCATTTTCAATTTTTGAAAACTGGTTTAACTAAAAAACACAAAACATTGGCAAAATGACCATTGAGAAAGGAGGGAGAGCCGTTGGAATGCTGTTATCCGGATCATCCTTGCACCATGTTTTACTCACTTTTATTTTAGTGTTTATTTGTCTTTAATATTACTTTTAAAAATTAACAACAAGTACAAAACCCCATTTAAACACATTTTTCTATAGGTTCTGCGTCATTTTCATCGTCAACTTGTCACAATTTGAAAGTTTTGGACAAAATTTCATCAAACCGGAAGTGATCTGGATCTTCGTCTGAGGCCAACGTTTCGCATCACAACTAGGTTAAAAGTTTGTTACATTGTCCTGAAACAATTTTAGAAACATTAAAACATACGACTTAAGTGGTAAGAAAATGATAAGAAATTGGTGCTGGTGGCAGTCTTAAATATCATCGCAAACAGTCTGAATCATCCTTAGAGGTACACTTACGTGCGAAACGCCCAAGAATATTGACCAAAAGGTATCTGTGATGATGCACTGTCAAATTCCCGGATCTGAATCCTATTGAATACATTTGGGATTTTTGTAAGGAATGTCAAAGCACCCCCCCCCCCTCCACACAATTTCAACGGTTTAGAAAGATCCATGCAGTAGGTGTGGCAGCAGATGGGTCAATATCCTATTCAGGGGTACATGGTATCCATGAAAAAAGAATATGCCTTGTAGTAATTTGAGCGAGTGGTGGTCTTATTCCCTAGAGATTATTTTATGTGAATTTTCATTTTGAGGGTACATCATGTCCTTGACACTTTGCTTAAAATTCTGACGAGATACTTACGCGAAAATTACGCAACATCGAACTGAAATATGCATCATTAACCATGAATTAAAGAAATTATATATTTTATGCATTTGTTTTTTAAAACTTAAAAAATCTTAGGTGAACACTTAGAAGTTTGGTTCAGTGTATATTCAAAAAGGCACATGCCCACAAAAAAATTAGTTCGTGTATTTCGCTGAATAAATGATTGTAGTATACTCAATTACTCATAGTAAAGAACATGTAGGAAAAACCAATGAGTCTATCAGATTGAGATATACACACTCGCTCTGATGATTTTCAGGAATATATATTGTTTACGGCAATGTTTGTCATAGAGCGATCACTATGCACCTCCTCCAAAATAAAAAATAAAAAGCGCCCAAAAATATGTTTGCTTTAAAATTACTTCAAAGTAAATGTAATTATACCTACATTAAACCTTCAAAAAAACTCATATTAAACTAACTTTAACTCTCATGTACGAGGGTTGTCCGGTAAAATCTTGGACAAGTTGCCTAGAGTGAAACGTAATCATCACTGCGTTCTAAAATTTTCACTATTCTTTAGTACATTTTTCATTAATATACATAGTAAATTTCAAATGGATATTATATGCAGAAATAAACAAATTATGAGATTTTATGTCGTGTGGTATCACCTTTAACGGTGCACGGATGATAACGTCAAAGTGTCCTATTTGCTTAAAAAAAAAGTTGAATAATCCCCACTTTAATTCGGGAATTTCAATAATGCACATACTTGAGTTTCCCTTTATTCCTCCAAAAACAGTCGAGGAACCAATCTCGCATACACATGATTCATTAGTAAGTTATAGACAGTACTCTCACTATCATTCAACTCTAGGTTACCACCATATTTGACCTTTTGATCTTGACCTTGGAGTTCGACCCACTTTTGCAAAATTTTACCGAACATTAACCTTGGCCATAACTTGGCACAATTGGTGTGAGGGCTTTCATACTTCACATGTGTAATCCTTGTGACAAGACCTTCCTTTTGATACCAACAACTTTGACCTTTTGACCTTGACCTAGGAGTTTGACCTACTTTTGAAAAACTTTAACCTTGGCCATAACTTTTGAATGGTTAGTGCTAGGGCTTTCATACTTTAAATGTGTAATCTTTGTGACAAGACCTTCCTTTGGATACAAACAACTTTGATCCTTTGACCTTGACCTTGGAGTTTGACCTACTTTTGGAAAACATTGATCTTGGCCATAACTTTTGAACGGTTGGTGCTAGGGCTTTCATACTTTACATATGTAATCCTTATGACAAGGCCTTCCTTTGAATACCAACAATTGTAATCCGTTGACCTTGACCTTGGAGTTTGACTTACTTTTGAAAAACTCTAACCTTGGTCATAACTTTTGAACGATTGGTGCATCGGCTTTCATATTTCACATATGTAAACCTTGTGACAAGACCTTCCTTTGGATACCAACAATTGTAATCCGTTGACCTTGACCTTGGAGTTTGACCTACTTTTAAAAAACTTTAACCTTGGTCATAACTTATGAACGATTGGTGCTTCGGCTTTCATATTTAACCTGTGTATTTCTTGGGAGAAGACCTTTCTTTGGGCACCATTAATTTTGACCATTTGACCTTGATGTTTGATATACTATTGAAAAAATTTAACCTTTTCCATATCTATTCAATGGTTGCCGCTAGGCTTTTCATATTTCACAGGTATATTCCTCGAGACGAAACCTTACTTTGGGTACAAACATATTTGATTTCCATTTGAGAAAGTTTAACCTTTGCTGTAAGTTGCCATACGGGAGCATCAGTGTTTCATAAACACATCTTGTTATATATTTATTTTCGTCTGAGTTTAGTCATTTAAAGTCTCTTAGGGCGTCATTACTACATCTTAATCAAACTGAAATGCTCTCCGGTGCGCCGTGACGTCATCAAACGTTGCAATTTTTCTTGTGTTTACCGTTTTCCCATTTCAAATGCTCGGGAAACTGCCAAAAATTAAGCAAATTCCTTGAAATTTTCCAAAAGACGACATCATAGATAGTGGATTAAAAATAGGATGTTTTACGCCAATCTTATCTATTTAATACATTTATTACGAAAATATGCTCGTGTATTCTCTACTGAAACCCTGGTTTTTCGTCGTGCTCCGTAGGACCTTACCCTGTGCACATTCAAGCATAATAAAATCCTATTTTGTCTGTATTTTATATTAAAAAAAATTAAGATGCACCTAAATAAATTATGATAAATAAACATTTGCTGAAAATTTCAGTTTAGTGCACCCATTTTTTTTCAATAACAACGCTTTGTCCACGATTTTACCGACAACCCTCGTAGCATTGCGTACGATTAATCCTTTATATCATTATTTTAGTTTTGTTTGTTTGTTGTTTAATGTTCCTCTCGAGAATTTTTCACTCATATGGAGACGCCACCACTTGCCGATGGAGGACTGCGAATTTAGACCTATACTCGGCACTCAGAGCCATTCAGCAGTGAGGGATCGTTTTCGTGCCAGCTACTGCGACAACGCACCTCGGGTTATACGGTCTCAACCGAGGGACCACACTCTTACTTATGACTTTGTATCTCGATATTGACATTTATAACTAGCTGCAGAACTGTAGCGTTATGGTTTTATATTTAAGACTAAAATATAAAACCATAACGCTACAGTTCTGCAGCTAAACGTAAGGTATATATTTTGGATATTGCAGACATCAGAACAACTGCATGGTAAAGAAATGCAAATCACCGAGATTTGCACCAGAGAATAAAGTATGATACCAAACTCAAAATACTTATATTACACATTGATTTAATTCATGGTACATTTTGAAAGAACATAGGCAAAAGGTCAGGGAAATGTCCCCAGTTGAACAGAGACTCAAACAACAGCTAAATTTCTTTGATATATCTGTTTGCATAAATATGTTTTCTATATATAAAATCTAATATAATATGCTTTGACTTCATTATGAATTTAGCTGTATTTATTTAGCTGTATTCCTTCTTTTCAAGAGGACATTCTATTCAAAGATAAAAATGTTGAAATTGTGCAAAGCATATGGAGTTTAGTCTTCATAGTAGTAAAAGGTTGTGAGCCCCCCCCCCCTTTTTTTTTCCTTTCATACATCCATTTCTTTTTACTTTTACTCTGTTTTATTATGAGGACATGAGAAAGATTCATGCTTGAATGGGAATCATTCCAATTACAGACTCGTATAACAGTGTCCGAGTCTGTGGGAAAGATAGAATTAATGTTTGATTACTGTAATTGACATGGAGATGAGTCTATATATATAGTAATACTGAGCATACAAGATTCTATGATCTGAGAGATACAAGACAGAAATATTGCTCTTGTCATATATGCCCTACCCTATATCACTCAGACAACATGCTCAGTGAGCTAAACACAGCAAAAGAAAAAAAATCTTGGAGAAAGAGAGAGAAAGATGTTTCAGTTGTCATAAGTATAATGAAACTTATTTCTGGATTCCATGTCTTCCTGAGTTGATTTTGTAAAACAAAATACAACAAAAATATACTGGTAAATGATAAAAGAATATATGATAAATTGTATAAAAGTCTATAATCACATTTCATTATATACATGTACTTCATATTGTGAAATAATTACAATATCCTTGATCTCAGGTGAGGAACCCTGAGGATTTGAACACAGTCCTCATGATTTCTTCCTGCTCTGTTGTGATTGGTTGTAATGGTGACCTTACTGGACCTCCATAGTAACCAAACCATTCCATGGCAACCTTCAGCCCTGGTACCCCAAACCTCTTTGTTACCTAATATAAACACAACCTTTCAATATCAAGTGTGTGTTACCTGATATAAACACAACCTTTCAATATCAAGTGCTTTTCAAAAATAACTAGTGCTAATTGTAACGGGAACCGTTACAGATGTTCCCCAAAGGCTCCCCAATCCCTTATGATGCCCCATTCCCTACAAGCTTCAATAGATTAGCCAATACTTTTGTAATATAGATGGACACTTTATTTTTAAAGGTATTTCATTGAAAAACTACTCCGATATAGCCATATGGGTATTAGCCAATCAAATTTCAGCGCATGTGCTTGCACATGTTTTCTACATTTTTCACATTAATTTTCTTATAGTGTCTCACAATACATACATTTGTGTTAAGTATTAAAGAATTTCACTGAAAAATAAGAGAGATGTAACCCTTTAAGTATTAGCCAATCAGAATTCAGCATACGCGCATGCATGGCCTTGCATTCAATTTCGATAGTATCATAATGTAGGAGCTCTATGTGCCTATCCATGTCGTAAATTTCATCCTGTTTTGTTGAAAACCAAGGGAGTTATAGACATTTAAAGTTTCAACCAATCAGATTGCAACACACCTGCATGCGCGTGTTTTCAAGAAATTTCCTATATAACATGCTGTAGCACCTTATAATATATACTTATATTCTAAATTTCAAAGTATTTTGTCAAAAAACAAGAAAATTATTGAGATTTTTGTATCAGCCAATCAGAGAAGAGCGCACGTGCATGAGCGTGAGTTCACGCTAATTTGACCATGTTATCTTGTCTAGACTACTAATATATCTTTATATGTTGAGTTTCAAAGCAATTCATCAAGAAATATAAAAGTTACGGCTTCAACCATTATATCAGTCATTTCACTCATTGCAGGCGCACGCACGTGCATGCATGTGCGCGCAAAATGACCTTCGTTCCGAACACCTACACAACATGCCTATTAACCCTAAAAAGGTTTCATGTCAATCGGATGAGTGGTTCTATGAGAACACTCTCGGACAAAAAAGTACCGGAGAAGAAAGTAGAAAAAAAGAATAATAATAATAATAACTAGATTAGATCTCGTTGCGAGCAATGAGTAGGTCTTCCGTCCCATTTTTGGATAAGATGAGATATGATTTTGACAATGATCTTTGTTAAAAGATAATAATATATAGACTTCCCTAATTAGATTACATTCTTTTGATTTATATAACATTATCAAAGAGCTATAGATGACAGGCTTCTGGCCCCTCTGAGCCCCTAATTTGAGGGGTCAGCCCCTTTTTCTTGATATCAAATGAAAGGGCTTGTGATTTTGAAGACTTTTTGTTCAACAACTATTCAGAGATTTCTTTTCGTTGTGGAGATATGCTGAATGAAAATATTTAGGGGCAACCCCTCCAAGTCCTTAATGGGGCCGTTTGACAAAAATTGAAAGGGTACATATTGTTTAGAACATTATTCTGACCATCTTTTGTTTAGGATTGCTAATCAAAATATTCTCCCAGTTCGAGATATAAAGCGTCAAAGATTTAGCATTCTGGCCCCTTGTGACCCCTTATTACGTAACATATGATCAGAATCTTATCATATTCTAATGTAAATCGTTAAGATAAACATCTTTGCTTCAGTAATGTATCACAAATTATTGATCGTTAAAGAGTTAAAGATGAAAGACCTTTGGCCCTTCTGAGCCCCTAATTTGAGGGCTCAGCCCCTTTTTCTGGATATCAAATGAAAGGTATTGTGATTTTGAAAACATTTTGTTCAACAACTATTCAGAGATTTCTTTTCATTGAGGAGATATGCTGAATGGAAATATTTAGGGGCCACCCCTCCAAGTCCTTAGTGGGGCCGTTTGTCAAAAATTGAAAGGGTTCATATTGTTTAGAACATTATTCTAACCATCTTTTGTTCAGTATTGCTTATGAAAATATTCCCCCTTTTCGAGATATAAAGCGTCAAAGATTTAGCATTCTGGTCCCTTTTGGTCCCTTATTACGCAATATAGAATCAAAATTTTATAACATATAGTTGCAAATTGTTAAGATAAACATTTTTGCTTCAGTAATTGATAACAAATTATTGATCGTTAAAGAGTTATAGATGAAAGACTTTTGGCCCCTCTTAGCCCCTAATTTGAAGGATCAGGCCCTTTTTCTTTATATTAAATGAAAGCTCTTATCATTGTGCACAACTTTTGTTATATATGTTTTAACAAAATATTTACAGGTATTAAGACATGAAAGAAAACGTGCTAAATTTTGCGAGATAGTTATGATCCTATTTTTCGAGCCCTGGCGAGCTTCGGCGCCTTTTGCGCTTGGAAGATATAGACCCAAAAAAGCACATCTACAATCCTTCCTCTACTTTCACTGTGAATCTCAACTCAATATCTTTATTCGTTTAGGAGTGATTGCCAGGACAAGCCGACCCTCTGAAAATTGGAAAATCGTCCATATCTCACGACCGGAAGTGATGTCATCAAAATAAAAAATTTCCAATAAGGTTCAGATCAATATCTATTAGATCTGAAAGTTTCGTGAAAATCGACCGAGCCGTTTCCAAGAACTCGCTTGCACAAAATCGGTAAGAAAAAAAAAGAATAATAATAATAACTAGATGTGATCTCGTTGCGAGCAACGAGTAGGTCTTCCGTCCGATTTTTCGATGAGATGAGATGTGATTTTAATTAAGTTTTCGTTAAAAGATAATGATATATAGATTTCCCTCCTTAGATTTCATTCTTTTGATTTATATAATATAATCTTGAACATCTTTCGTTCAATATTGCTTTTCAAAATGTTTCCCTTTTTCGAGATATGAAGCGCAAAGGATTTAACATTCTGACCACCTAAGGCCCCTACATGCAATAGAGAATCAAAGTTTTACAACATATTGTTGCATATTGAAGAGTTACATATTAGTCTTTTGGCCCCTCTGAGCCCCTAATTTGAAGGGTTAGCCCCTTTTATTTGATATTAAATAAAAATACTTGTGATTTTAAACATTTTTTGCTCAACAACTATTCAGAAGTTTCTTCTCGTTTTCGAGATATGTAGCATAGAAATATTTAGGGGCCAACCCTTCAAGTCCTTAATGGGTCGGTTTTGCAAATATTGAAAGGATATATATTGTTCAGAACATTATTCTGAACATCTTTTGTTCAATATTGCTTATCAAAATATCTCCCCTTTTTGAGGTATAAAGCGTCAAAGATTTAGCATTCTGGACCCTTTTGTCCCCTTATTACATAATATATGATCTTAATTTTATAATATATAGTGGCAAATCATTAAGAGGAGCATTTTTGCTTCAGTAATTGATAATAAAATATTGATAGTTAACGAGTTATAGATGAAAGACTTTTGGCCCCTCTGACTCCCTAATTTGAGGGGTCAGCCCCTTTTTCTTGATATCAAATGAAAGACCTTGTAATTTTGAAGACTTTTTGTTCAATACCTTTTCAGAGATTTCTTTTCGTTGTGGAGATATGCCGAATGGGAACATTTAGGGGCCACCCCTCCAAGTCCTTAATGGGGCCGTTTGACAAAAATTGAAAGGGTGCATATCGTTTAGAACATTATTCTGAACATCTTTTGTTCAGTATTGCTTATCAAAATATTCCCCTTTTTTGAGATATAAAGCGTCAAAGATTTGGTATTCTGGCCCCTTTTGACCCCTTATTATGCAATATAGGATCAAAATTTTATAACATATATTTCCAAATCGTTAAGATAAACATTTTTGTTTCAGTAACTTACAACAAAATATTGATCGTTCAAGAGTTATACTTGAAAGACTTTGGGCCCCTCTGAGCCCCTAATTTGAGGGGTCAGCCCCTTTTTCTTGATATCAAATGAAAGCTTTTATCATTCTGCACAACGTTTGGTATATATGTTTTAACAAAATATTTACAGGTATAAAGATATAAAAGAAAACGTGTCAAATTTTGCGAGATGCTTTTGAGCCTATTTTTCAAGCCCAGGCAAGCTTCAGCGCCTTTTGCGCCGGGAAGATATAGACGCAAAAAAGCACATCTACAATCCTTCTTCTACCTTCACTGAAAATCTCAACTCAATATCTTGAGTCGTTTAGGAGTGATTGCCAGGACAAGCCGACCCTCTGAAAATCAGAAAATCGTCCATATCTCACGACCGGAAGTGACGTCATCGACGACGAAAATTTCCGACTTCCGTTGAAGACGGAAGACCTTAATAATAGGGAAAAAGAAACCGAACGAAAACAATAAGGTCCTCCGTTGAAGACGGAAGACCTTAATAATAATAATAATAAGAAACAGAGTAAAAACAATATGTTCCCAAACTTCGTTTGGGGAACATAATTACCATAACTGAAAACAATAATGTGCTGGCCACACACTAAACAATAAATGTTTTACATAGATCTAGCAGTGAAATGAAGGTGACTGTTCTCCTTTGATGTTCAGATGTTTTGATGGTCATATGAAAGTTACTGAAATAATTTAGTTTATGTTCCAACTTTGATTTTTTTTTTTTTTACTCATATATCATTTTATGTTTCTGCCTTAAGGTGTATACATTAGATCAAATTGAAACTTGCTACGAAGATTCTTTAAGAAACACGATGCAAATACGAAAAGCAAAAACCTCTAATAAATTATTGCTAATGTCAATGTTGTAAAATCATGGCCATAGGAACCGGCAAAGGGGGGAGGGGGGTAATTTTACCAATGCAATGCATATAGTATACTATGGAAAACAAAGCTACTTTATGAATATGCCAATATAAACATATTCTATAATCTACACAACTAGAGCTCCTACATATCATCTATAAACATATTGTGTATGAAATGACATCCTCTTGAACAAAAGGCCCATGGGCCAAAAAGCTCACCTGAGTAACTTTAGCACTGCTGTTCTTTGGAAGATTTTTGTATTCCAGTGAAAAATTGTGATCCATATCATGGCCCCATACAAACTCTAAAGGGTCTCTGAATCCATACAACATGGGGAAGCTTCAATATCAATATGACTAACATGACCTTGTTTTCATTAAGAAGAAAACTCTTTTGTTGTATACATGCAATATGTAAAATTTGCTCCTGCTTTTAGCCAACTGTAACCCAAGGTCCATAATTTGAAAACAAAAAATTGAATCCACACAACTTGGGAATGTTTGCATATTAATGGTTTTATTGCTTGATAAGAAGATATTTTTTTTTTCACATGGTCTAATGTAAACCTTTGATCCCATATTGTGACCACATCCTACCCCAGGGAACCATGATTTGAACAATTTAGAATCTAGACTACACTATATACACTTTCTAGAATCTACACTACCTCATGAATCTTTCACATATTAGTTTCATTGTTTCTGGCCCAGTGGTAGCCTACTCAAGATTTTATTTAATGATACCACCCTAATTTTGCCTTTTCTTGATTAATTTCCCTTGGAAGGAGGCTTAACCCTTCATTTGAGCAATTTAGAATATCCTGTATCCAAGAATGCTGTATGCCAACTTTGGTCAAAATTGGCCCAGTGGTTCCTGAGAACTTGAAAATGTGAAAAGTTTACAGATGGAAAGACAGATGGACAGCTAGACAAACAGATGTCGGACAATGGGCGATCAGTAGAGCTTAATTGAAGCTCAGGTGAGCTAAAAACTTAATATGATTTAATTCAAACAATTCTTTATTCACAAAAGTGAATGGGATTGGGCAGCAGGCTCAGCCTATTTTGGCCCTCTCCCTAAAAACTGAATGTGTTTTACCCTTTTTCTTAATCAAACACTTTTGCATTTCTTATATGCATAATCATTCTGTTTTTTGAAGAATCAAGTCATGCAATAAGTTCAATTAGGAACCTTAACCGAACCAAAAGATGATAAGTGGTTTCAAAGGACATCAAAAATGAAACAACTGATCACAATCCCTTTATTTGTATACTTTTAGGATAAAATGTGATATTAGTATTTTTCAAGGTAAAGGGATATCTATACATTCAACAACACCAAGAATTTTATCCAGAAATAAATATAACTCACACATGCATTGGGAGCAACAATTCTCTGCTGTAATTTTGTGGCTTCCTCCATCTTTCCATTTTTATACAGCTGCTCTAAATCACAGAGTTCCTGTCCCAGCATGTTGGCCACCCCACATACTCCACCTACACAACCTAAAAAAAAAGAGCTGTATCTTTTTCTACACAAACCATACAAACCATATCATAGAATTATAGTCAGTCTGTAAGGCCCAATCCACTCTTCCTACAACACAAAACTGTATTTATTGCCTTCAACAGGATTTTAACCTACATGACAGTAATGTATCTGTTGTATCAGATTCCTACAAAAACAAAATTGTTTCTATTGCATCAGATCTCAGCCACACACCAAATAACATTTGTATCAGAACCTTCTCAAAGGAAATTCTATTCTACCGGTATTAGATCCCACTCAGACAAAACACTGAATTGTTTCAATTGTGTAAAATCTACTTCCATAGAATCTGATACTGATAAATATAGCGGATATGTGACAGATCAGAATAGGATTTGTACTTGTGACCCCTTCCACCTGAACTCAAGGAAGGTGCTTTACCAACTGTGCTTTTTGGGTACTGACAAACCTAACTGAGCACACAATATTCATTCCCAGGAGTCAGAGATGCAATAACATTTAAGGAATGAAGCTTATTTTAACCTATGTTGTACAATATAACATAACTTGGGGCAGTTTACACTTTATAAACCACGAAGCAGTTTATAAAAAAGCATAAACTGCCCCAAAATAGGTTATATCGTACAACATAGGTTAAAATAAGCTTCATTCCTTATAATTTAATTTCAGTGTAGACAATAAGACAATTTTCCTCCAAAAAATGGCTTCAAATTGAGCATATTTTAAAAGTAATGTCGAGCGGAGTCCTACGTTTTTGACGTAACTCATTGTGACATAGGCAACTTATGCTATACGATATAAACAAAATCTTTCATCCAATCAAATGATGTGTTAAACTAAAATTAAATTATTTTAATATACAAACCCACAAGATAAGCAGGCAGCAAAAATCCAGCAGACCCTGCCATTATCTGGAAATCTTTACCCTGAGTCTTGTATACCAAATTTGCAAGCTTGGCTATCTATAAAAAAAAAATCAAATAAAGCACCATTATAAAGGGTGTAAAATGTTACTAAGTTTTAATAGTTTTTTTTAGTTCTTTGTAAGTTCTATGCTGCTTACTTTGAGCTAAAACAAAATTCTGAACCGGAAAGTATCAATTTTAAGTACAGAAAATTTCCAAATCAAAAGTCAATCCCTGTTGTCAAAACAAAATAAATTTTAAGAATGGGAACATGTGCTCACTGTATTACATTTATTCTTTAGAAATAGAGACTTAAAAAATAAATATTCTGACTCATTAATTTCTAACTTTATATTTATTGTGAATTTAATAACAGTGGGACCAATGGAAGTGTGAGAATTAAATTGCCGAGGTAACAAAAGAGATGTGCTTCCTGTCTGATTTACCTGGCATGATGTTAGGTCTGAGTCATCAGTAACCCACCAGATTATATCATTTACAGTTGTTGTCCGGATTATATCATTTACAATTGTTGTCCGGATTATATCATTTACAATTGTTGTCCGGATTATATCATTTACAATTGTTGAAAGAAGTGTTAATGAGTAGAAAACCTTTTGGTTACTGACAAATTGTCAGTGACAATAAACAATTCTATGAGGAAAGACTCCCCATGAACTTGAATCTGTTGTATTTTGTATTGAATACTTACATCCCCCCCACTGTCCTTTAGTCCAATTATGTTGGGATGGGAGGACAAGGTTATAATGACTTCTGGGTCAAGGTCAATTCCTGTGTTACCTGGGACACTGTACAACAGTATGGGTATCTTACTGGCATCAGCAACCTAGAATCCAGCGATATAACATTTAATCAAAATGAAATACTGTACACCTACATGTATTACATTGGCTTTGTTTCTATTTAGCAGATTTAGCAAAAAGCAACATCTATAAATCAAGTACATGGTCACCAAATGTCAAGGTTACATGTACATTAGTATGTACATTCAGAAATGCACTAAAACTCAATATCCACAAAATACTGTACACGTTAAATATGATATATTTACAGAACAAATACCACCATACAAGATTGTAATTACTTTTCTACATGTAGATCTACAAACTGACAAAAATAATGCTTTAGCTTTCACAAAGTTCAGGACAAGGGTTAAGCATTTAATCAACAAATGATCTAGCATATATAGATGTTGAATTGTGAACCTTTGTGAAATGGTTGATTAGAGCCCTATTGTGCATCCCATTCTTGTAATAACTAGGAGTCACCACTAGTGCAGCATGTGCCCCTACGTCTGCCATTCGATTGGTCATTTCTATAGTATCTTTGGTGGCTACAAATAAGCTAATATATATAGTTTTATACAGTATTAAAATTTCTGCAAAAAATCAAAGTTTTGAAATTCTAAATAAATTCTTTATACATATGTATATAAACATATGCATGCAAGTTAAAATAAACACAATATATATATATATAAACAACCAAAATATATTTTTTTCCATGTGTTCAAAAACAAGCCAAGAATATATATCCTATAAATATTTGGTAAAACATAAACAAGTTGGACATACATTCACATCCGGAGCCTGCCATGATGACCTTGTCTGGAGTCGCTGTCTTAGCAACATGTTCCACGACCTTGATCCTCTCTTGTGCTGTCTGATATACATATTCCCCATTGGATCCCTGTACAACATAACCTACAAAACAATGTGTTACAGATGTTACATAAAATGGCTAATCTTCAAAATTTATCATAATAGTTTGTGTTTCTCAATATGCATACATGTGATAAGTCAAAGACCACAAAACTGTACAGGAGCCATAAAAAAACTGGAATTTGGGTGAAAAAACTGTACACTGTCTATCGAAAAACGGTACAAAAAATGGTATAAAATATCGCTTAAATTCTTCTGAAATTCCATCGTAGTCATTGTAATAAACATCGTATACTTAATACCTATGAAGATCTGGGTCAGATTCACGGATATTAAGTCATGTATATCAACTTTAGAAGTTGGCTTAATTTTTTTCAATCAAGTTACGTATACGAAACATTAACAGTAATTAAGTATCCCTTAAAAAATAAAGCTACCTAAAGGGGTATTTGATACGGATTTATCCCACAGTTCACACCTTCGCACGCGATGGTTTGTGTACACTACTCAGAAGGTCAAGTGTCAAACACAGGTGACGTTTTCCAGTGTCTCGCGAGCGAGAATGAGAGGAAAATGGCGGCATTTAGTGAGAAATTCAAAATACTGTACAAATTTTCATATTCCGTGAATTTTGGTGTCCCGCCGGTACACGATGAATAGGCTCAAAAAACTGTACATTTTGCGTACAGCCTGTACATATCACATGTATGAATATGTCTGTGCAAGACAGTTGACTAGATATGGCCGTATGAACTTTTGAGTGATAATAAATAACTCATTTTCAGTTTAATGCTAATTCACTCATGTTGATACCCTCCATACACTCACCTGATACTTGCTGTTTTGTAAACAAAAGTATTAAAGAAACTTGTTGCATGAATGATTTTTGCAATTTTTGTTTACCTGAAACTATACATTCATAGAAGTCATTGTTATAAAGGAAACAAAATATATTTTTCAAGACAATGTCCAATGGAATAATGGACATAATATTCTAGGTAAAGGAGAGAGGCTGAAAATTGTCCATTTTGTCCATCCTAAATATAAAATTCTTTACATCAAACTTGATCAATGTCATGACTCTCATATTCTGTGTAATTGTCTTCTAAGTTTGAACACTATGCAAAAACTTTTTATTTAAAAAAATCAAACTGGCAGTAGGCCTTTAAGATAGTTCTCTTGTTATTTTTGGAACTAACATGTACATGTATGTTATCTTATCTTATCAATCCCCAATGCATTGCAGACACTTTCATGATACATCAACTTTATCTGAAATAATTAAGTTACTCCCTAAGTTCTAAACAAACCAAATGCATGTGGGTCACTGAGTTACGTAAGATGTAATCATTAGTTGCAGAAATTTGTACAGTACAACATTAGGAATATGGTTTATACCTCTGAGAAATCTTACCAGCTGACACAGGCCTAGATCTAGTGTGTTAATCGTTTGACCTACATATCTTACCCCCAAAAGGTATCTTATTCCACTTCTGCATGTTTTCAGTCAGTTTGTCGTAAGCTACACTCTCATCCTTGTTAAAGGGCGTGGCAATAGGAGGGTAAATACCACTGACATCTACCCGTCCTGTCCCACTACTGGAATGCCTTACCACGGACATCACCACAGGTGGCGGTCGTAAATGTTTCCCATGAAAAGGAACCCTAGATCGCCTGCAAAATCTAACAAGACAGTTCGCCACTCGCTTCATAGTTGGACATGGATCGTGTGTCACACAGCCTGTGCGGGTATTCGGTTACAGCTATCTTTTGCATTAATTCACGGACGACCTCTTGGGTAAAGTAAACATGAAAGTGAAACAAGAGATTTAACTTCCGGTCGTCATTATGCAAATGGCGGGAAATTCAAATTGTGATTGAAAGGCGTAAACATGATAAAGGGCAAAAACTCTTATTCTACTCCTCCCATAAGGAAATCATGTTGCATTTTTTTACAACATAATAAATATTCTTAGGTCTACAGAATATTGAAAATTAACTTAAGAAAATCCTTCCAAATATACAAACTTCAACAGACTTGTAAAGACAATATGCTTTCACTCATATTTCTCTATTTATTTGTAAATGTATAAGGTGGGGTATAACTATAAATTGTGTAATGATATACCAATATATATACTACCAGTATACTGCAATACACAAAAATCGTACTATATCACAGTACAAAAACTATTCCTGTGTATCATGATAAATAACATTTAAAGCAATTAACCCTCAGAAAAAAATTTTGAAGACAACACAGTTAGTGGCAGACTTAAGGGAGGGGGGGGGTGTGTGCACCTGGCGCCCCCCTGTAATTATCAAAGTTAGCATAAATCATAGTTTCGTCAAGAAAATGTAAAAGTGTCTACTGCGTAGACCCTACAAAATCTCTAGAATCCAGGAACTTCAGGGGGCAAAGCCTGGCCCTGAGCCCGCCACCAGGGCTTTGCCCTGGACCCAAGGGGCCTCAAGGTGGCCCCCAGACCCCTGCCTACTTTTTGTGCCCCCCTCCAACTTCAATTCCTGGAGCCCCGCATGACAGTACTGATGAACAGAAATCACTGTTGCTTTTTTAAATTGAAAATACTTGCAAATTGTTTACTTAATAGTAATTACATAGAGGTAGGTGGGATAACAATGCTATCGTTCACAGTTCTTAAGACCACCCACTCAAAGTTGGAAATTTTTGGTAAGAACATAGACAAAATTTAATACTGTATTGCAACCTTTAACATTTGTCATGTTTTATCATTACAAGAAATGATACCCCTCTTCATAATATTTCTTATATTTTTTAGCACAACAAAAAAAAGACAATATCTGTCATGTTTTATTTTTACAAGAAATGATCTGAACAAACACACATTTATATGATACAGATTTTAAAATTGGACAAAATTTAACATGTAAAAGCTAAAGTATCTTTGAAAGATCATGAAGATATATTTGAATACTAGACAACCATAAATTGGTAAGATTTTCTAACATGAAATGTACATGTATTTATAAAACTTTACATATCAATTCCAAATTTCAAAATATGTGGGAAATATCAAATACTTTTTGGAATAGCTAAAAATAAATCTTATGCTCTTTTTGACACACACTGTAAATATTTCTAGCCATATTTTAAATATTCTAGCCATATTTTAAAAATTGCCTTAAAGGTGCTTAGACACAGATTTGAAGTTAATATTTTCTCAAATTTTCTGTATGATATCACGAATTATATACTGCAATAGCATTTCACACGAAAATATAATTAAAAACTTATTTTATCTGGAAATTATTGGAACTACGAATTCCTGGACGCGTTTGAATAACACATCCTTGCATTTTCAGAAATTTTATCTTTATCCTTAACATTTAAGAAAAGAAGTGATTTTGTTGTGTATTAATGAAAAACATTACATCTATAATCCAGAAAATTCAGAGTAGAAATGTGCGAAAGCAAATCCCCTCACTAATATCGTCAGCCCGTGCTCAGTGTTGTGTACAGAGTTTAACAAATTGAATACACCCGTGAAATGTAAACTGTTTTTGTAAACAGGGCACGAGCTCTGTTATTGTTAATGTTTACGATTCACCGGGTGTGTTCAATTGTTAAACTCTGCACACACCACTGACCACGGACTGACAATACTGTGAGTGGGTTTTGCTTTCGAACATTTCTACTCTGAATTTTCTGGATTATAGTTTTAATATTTTTCATTAATACACAATAAAATTGCCACTTTTCTTATGTATTAAGAATAAAATTAAAATTTGTGAAAGTGCAAGGATGTGTCAATCAAACACATTCAGAAATTTGAAGTTTCAATAACTATGAGATGAAATATGATTTTTATTATATTTTAATAAGAAATGCTATAGCAACATATAAGTCATGAAATTATACAGAAAATTTGAGAAAATTTAATTTCAAATCTGTGTCCAAGCACCTTTAAATAACATAAACATTTTAAAGAGGAAAGATACATATACATCACTAATTCTCTACCAATGTTGCTATTATAAATGGCTACTGATTTACAAAGTAAAACTGAAAACGTCTTTTTTTGTTTCCCAAAAGAATTGAATGACTTTTACTTCAGAAAATTTGTAACATATTACACTTGTAATAGTACTACATGTAATATAAGTTTTGATAGTACAGAATTAAAATGGTAATTTTCCTTAATATTGCTTGTACTAGGTAAACAGTATTGCTTGTACACAGTATACCTGAAAGAATTGCCTGGACCCTAAAAATTATTTGCTACTTTCATAGCATACATGTTCTACAATAAGTCTGTACATTTCATATTGATACAGTAAAACATGAGAAAGAGGCCAGCTTTTAGCAGCATGCATTATAAGATTTTGTTTTCATTTAGCCAATGGGATGTGATCCAAGTCATCAGGTTCCCCTTTACTCTGTTTTGACACACACAACATTTGCTAACCAATCAAAGAGGACCTCGCCTTCCTTGTAACTAATCAGCTGTTCCCCTTAATTTTACTTAGGTTTTTTAGTCTACTTATTCCCAGTGAGACTAGATTTATTTCACATATTTCTCCATGAATTTTTTGTGGAATTCTGACCTCAAGGTGTCATTAATGAATGCACTCTTTTTCTTATCGTCTTCTCCTTTAGCACAGTTCTTAAACACAACGTCATCATCCCACCTACACCAAAATAAATCAAATTTTTAATTCAATGTAAGCAGGAAATATTCTCTCGTAGCATTTGTCAGGTTTTTCACAAAAAAGCAGGAAAATCATGCAATAACAATTACAATAACTTTGCATATAATTCACTTAAAACTTCTGGTAATCAAATGCCTTCTACTATTCATCAGAACAACTCATTTTAACTTGTTCTCTATGTTTTAAAATTTTAACTTGAATTGAATACTGTAAACCAACTTTTATTTGGGTGTGAGAAATTTTAGCGAGGTTCGCGAGAGCCTCGTCATCGCGAATATTTCTCGCCGCGAACCTTAAAGTCTCTCTTTCTATTAACAACAGATCAAAAAAAAAAAGGCTTGATCCCGGAAATTAATCGTCGCGAACTAGTTTATCCCCGGTAAATCGCGAAATAAAGTTGTCGCGAATAAAAGTTGGTTTACAGTATACCTGAACTGATAAAACATACTCTTCAAATATTAAAATAAGATCATACCCTGATGTTTCAATATCAGACACTCTCCAGGGTTCTCATTAACGCAAGAATCTGCGTCCTAGACGCAGCAGAATCATTTGGGACGCAAGGTTCTTAAAAACGATGCGTCCGCGGACTCATGAGTGGACGCGTCCTCGTCAGCGAGAAAATTTGGGTGCTTTCGAAAACTGGAGATTTCAGATATTAGGATTTGCCAAAGAAATATTTAATCGAAACCTTCCTGTAACTATCATAAAGTTTATCCTAGAAACAACTTTTCTGGTACCTATTTCTATTTTTTTTAAACAGGGATTGATTATAAGATATTTCATGTTTATTAGTCCATAGTCATAATAGTGTCGCATGCCAAACTCCGATTGCTGTAAACACAAAGCAGATTTTTTTTAAAAAACACTTTTGAATCTTGAGTTTTATCTAGAAACCATAATTATTGCTTGTATACATATCTCGTGAATTTCACCCAGTGCAGACGACCAACAGGATTAGTTACGCCTCATTGCACGTGACACCTGTGATTGTATACAGTGAACTTTAGGTACTGATTGATTATGCAACAATTAATTTTAGCTTTATAAACACCAAATTTATTTTTACGCGTGTATTTTAGAATATGGCTTGGATGCATCACCAGTTTACATATTTGAATATGTTAATATTTCGTAAACAAATTGTTAAAATAATGAAAGATTTTTTTTGATGTTTGGATGGAAGGATACTACAATAATTCAGTTGGGACTCAACATAATTTTTCTGGGACGCATCAAATTTAGCTGGGACGCAACCTTGTCAGAAATCTTGAGTCCTGGGACTCAAGTTAGCAAAATCCTAGTGAGAACCCTGCTCTCTAACCTCTGAACACTTTCTTACATACCTTCTCTTGACTTTGAAGTCTGTGGCATTTTTCTCCTGTTGGTTTAGTAGGGGATTCCCCTTCAGAATGTTCTCTGTTCTAATTCTCTCCTCCTCTGCCTTCTTCTCTGCATCCTAAAAATTCAATACAACATGCATCATCCAGAGATTTAAAAGAAACATCATGTAAAAGTTGTCCATTTGAGATTCATTGAACCAGAATCTGTGACTGAGCTCATAGAATGGTATCTCCCACTCTTTAATCTTTCTTGACCTTGTGTAAGTGACCTAGAATCACGTTCAAGACAAATTCTTAGTCAATTATGAGCTTCAAATCATTTTCAATTATGGCATAAAATATCTTTTACATCTTTTCAGTCAAAGACAATAAACTTGCCCAATTGACATTTAATCAAATTAACTACATGTATGCATCATATGGGCATAAGAAATTTTCTCTCTTGTATGAGCTTTTTTTTCAATCAGTTAGTGATGAAACAAGTAAAAGAAATTTTCTACAATGACCTTGCATTTAGATTTATCACCTTGGATGAAGGTCATAAGGACAACATTGGTACTGACACATATAGCATGGCAGACTGACAAGGAAATCCCTGTTAACATCCCTAACCTTTTGAGGCAGAGTAACTGCAAGTACCATATATACTCGCGTATAAGTCGGTCCACCTATAAGTCGGTTGTATTTTTTGCAGTTATTTTGGAGTAATTTGCCATTGACCCGCTTATAAGTCAGTACAACTTTTTGCCGGAATAGGTTGACAATATCAAATCAATGCTCTTATGTTTTAATGTGGTTTCAATCAATATTTTTAGAAAATGACGTAACATAATGTAATTTTAAATCATTGAAAAATAAGTAACGCACACTATAGATAAAAATAAAACTATTAAAAATTATAAATAATTCTACTTTATGCTTAATCTAAAAATATATAAATGATTTAAAATATAAAGACTTAAATCAATGAAAATCAGCGGGATTGTTTATAAGATAGTACCTTTTGTTGTCCAGAGAAATACCAATCTTTCTCTGACTCGCCTATAAGTCGGACCCAGAGTTTTGGACCAAAATTTAACTCCCAAAAAATCGAGTTATAGGCGAGTATATACAGTATACTTTCTCAATGGATTCTTCTTTATAATAATTAACAAAAAATTTACCATTCTTGCTTTCTCATTGGCTCGTTCCTTCTTGATTTTCTGTAGTTCTGCCATTAACTCAGCTGTGTCGTCTTCATCATCCGATGACTCATCTTCATCCTATAAAATGTAAGTCTGGATCAGTAAAAATCTCAATACAATCCAAAGATCAGTGTAAAAATTGTAAAGGAACATTAAAACACAAGAAAATCTTTTGTTTTTATACAGATATTTATAACAAAACTACAAACTGAGTAATCAGTGCATGGAGTTATCTTTCTTGATTTACTTAACACTAGTTCTATGCTTTGTAAGAATCACACAAAAAATGGAAGTGGAGAAGCATTTTGTAACATTTCTTATGATCAGACAGACAAACAGCTAGATGGATAGATGACAATGACCACTTTTCCATTGCACAAGCTCTTCTATTGTACAAGTTACAATCAGAAAGGCTAAAAACCAAGAAATACGATGAATAAGAAATAGAAGCAAAGAAGTAGGGATGCGCGATTTTATTGGTATACCAGTATATCACGATTTTTTATTGCGTGTTACGTATCGTGATAGGAAGACTAAAATACCGGTATTTGGTACATAACTACAAATTCCGGAAATTATTCATTTATTTGTTCAATCTATTGAATGACAATTACAGGAAGTGTAAAAAATGTTGAAAACAGTTAAACAACTGCATCCAAACATTCTTTATATTAAATAAATAAATATTTAAAAAGTAAAGTTATGTTTTTATAGCATATTTTTAAGAAATATTATGGAAATTCATATGAAATTGTGGTAAAAATTGTATGTAAAAATATCACAATTTATCATGATATTTTTGGGAAAAAATTGTGATATATCACGATACAAAATTTTTGCTGATACCCCTACAAAGAAGCCAATTGAATGACGGGAAGAAGGAATGAAAGAATGACAATTTAAGTAAACCTATTAAGAACATTGTACATAAACTAAAATTAAAGTAACACAGTGTTTACCTCCTCATCAACTGGGTCATCTGCATCCAAGTTAGCAGCTGGAACCTGATCTAGACGAGGCCTCTTACTGCTTCCTGATTCTGTGGGAAAAAAAATTTCCTCTTCAGGTTATGTTTACACTTTCGGAGGCTAATTCACTGCTAGTACCATAAATATGGTGATTTTTATTTTTATTTCAAATAGCTGAATCTCATTCTGAGCAAAATTTTTTTTTAATTATCCCGAACAAAATATATGCAGTCAAATGACAGTTATAAGTTCAGATTTTGCTGACCAATAGGAGTGGGACAATCCACCAGTGCACCAATGCATCACAGTATTCACTTTGACGATCTACAGATCGATTCATCTAATTTAGTATCACGATACCTGACCGCACTTTTTTTTTAATTTCCAAAAATTGTCCGGGCTTTAGAATTTGAAATTTTTAGTCCTTTAGTCTGTATCATCAAGACATTTAAACAAACACAAATAAAGTACAAACGTCTTGCTGATACAGAATTCAAGATATAAGCGTCAAAATGGCGCCAGACACGCCGGATTATATTAAATTAACGAAACCCAATGGCAGTAAGTCGGGTGTCTGGGACACCTTTGGGCTACCTATTTGTTGAATTAGTTTATTTTCAAACACTGTTATGTTCCAAATTAAATGTTCTAAAAAAAATGTCTAGTTTTATTTGGTTTTAAATGTATCGTGATATGTATCGTATCGCACCTAAGGTATCGTGATATGTATCGGATCGGCTAAGTTCAGTATCGTCCCAGCCCTACTGACCAATACATGAGATTATGACAATTATTCTAGTAAAATATTTGTATTTTAAATCCATCAGAAAATACTTAGAACTTATGATAGAAGGGACCATTACCCCTGTTTCTATCTCGTTTTTCTCTGACAGTTCTTTCCCTCTCGTCTAAATCCCTTCTGAAATCACGACCTCTAAGTTCCTCTGTTGTTCCCTGTCCTTCCTGTCTGTAAACACAAATAATAAATCACTAGTACATACTGCATGTGTCATCGGTTCAGCAGGATTCATATTTCTGCACCTTTTCTACTATAAACTTTAGCATGCTTCTTCATGATCATCATCAAAATCTGAATTATTCGGCATGTTTTGTCTAATTGAATTAAATATTTTGCTAACAATCATGTGATGATCAGAAGAGTCTGCTGTACAATTTTTTTATTTTTATTCTTGTGACATTCTTTATACCTATATTTGATTTTGGTGTGAGCTGGTAAATCTCGACTTGAATACTGTTTGGAGAGGGCACTGAGATCACCTTCATTTTTTCCTCTACCACCTCTGGCTGGTTCAAATGTTGGACGAGCTGCTGTTGTCATATCTGTTCAGTCTGTTACAAATAAAGTTTTGTAAATTACTGGCTATACTAAACTAAAACATAAAACTTTTCATTGTTATTTCTTGTCATCTAATAGCAACTGACTACATGAAGGCATGACTTATAAAAACTGCCATCAATAGATTACACAATTTAGAATTGCAAGAACCCTATATGTGTTTTAATATTCTAAAATGTGCATATTTCCAGTGATTTCTACTTACTGTATATATTCGCCTATAAGTCGGTTGTACTTTTTAAGCTTAAATTAGAGGAATTGACCCAATAAAATACCAATCTTGTTATAACTTGCGTGTAAGTCGGATAAAGAGTTTTGGACCAAAGTTTAACTCCCAAAAAGCCAACTTATAGCGAGTATATATGGTATAGAAATATTCAACTTTCTCACTTTGATGTGCTCGATTCCCTTTCTCAGAACAATTCAAAGTACATGTAAATTGTACAAAATCTGAAGGTTTTTTTTTCTTGAATCAAAATATTTTTTACAAGTTTACATTGTATGAAAAATGAGTGGAACAAGAATCAATCAATAATCATTGTATTGCTAAAATTAAGGCCGAAAAGAGAGTATATCAACTGGTGTATATAAAAAGCAATTGTTTCGTAAATGGGATCACCCCCTTTCTTTTTCTTACCAAAAGGTGCCTAACTCAATTTCAGACACCCCCACTTCAAACTAGTACCTTTTAATTTATCAATCATTAATCTACTCTAACAAGAAAAAGTTCACTTCGAGATAATTTGTTCTTTTCAAATGAATCATTCCAGACATTCTTCATCCAGACTCTGCATTGTAAACCACTCATTTATTCCTCATAAAATTACCTCAACATATTCCAAGAATTTGCTCAGGATACATCAACTTCCAGTTAAGCTTATAGTATAGAATAAAACCAGAGACTTCAGAATGAAAACCGGAAGTTGATGTATCTTCTGTAAAGTCTTAAAATATCCGAGGAATAAATGGTTTACGGGTGACACGAATCAGTGAAATAACAGATTTCAATACCAATCCCTATTAATTAATTTCCACTGTTATTGCAGTGCTTTGTCGGTTATTTCATGCTATTCAACTGATATTTCCTGAAAACCCTGTTATTTCACTGTTTCCATCACCTTTGGTTTACAATACAGAGGCTCGACGAAAGACGTCAGGGCTGGAATGATTTATTTGAAAAAAAGTATCTTGAAACGAACTATATCTTGTTGAAGTAGGTTCATGATTGATAAATTAATAAATTACGAGTTTGAAGCAGGGGTGACTGAAATTGAGTTAGGTATCTTATAATAAGAAAAAGAGAGGGGTGACCATATCAACTGAAACTACAGTACAGTAAAGGCTTCATGCTTGCAAAGTAGATGATATTATACCAAATAAGAAATGCAAAATACAACTACGCCTGAGTCTCTAAACAAAGTGACAAAAACAGAGAAAAACCTTGCTGACCATAACGTAAGATTACCCCCCAACACAGGAAAATCGTACCATCACCAGTGCTAAAGTGGAGATTCCGAAAATGTAAAGACAATATATGTAATATCAAACAACTGCATTTAATTTTAAGTTGATCTTACGTACCATTTAGTGTCAAATCAAAATTTTAGCAACGTAAATAACGTTTTTCAGTTTTTCTTGTTCACAGACTTACCGGAAGTGTTAATATAATCTTTAAATAAAAACAAATTACAATATAAGAAAGACTATATTTTAATTGCAAGCGCGTTTGCAAAGTATATCAGATTAGGAAACAAACTGAAGATTTTTGTATGATAATTTAAATATTGTTCGCAAATAGAGGCTTCATATAGCAATAATGATAATGAGCAATCGTTTAGAGAGTAAAATATAAATAAAATAAAACCAAACCATTTCATTTTTCCGGATTGTTATCTACACCAAATTTAAAGACATCTTTTTTTTAAATGGGTTCAGCATGAAAAAATTGATATTAACTCTTAATTATTTTGTATGATTCTTTGTTGTTGTTGTTGTTTTTTTTTTTATTTTTTTTTTTTTTAGAAAATGTAAGGGGGGGGGGGGGGATAAGATGTAGGGATTTAAAATTTGCTGTGAAAAATGCACAATATAAATATCTAATAAAACATGTTCAAAAAAAGTCAGATAGGAATTTTTATTTATTTATTTATTTATTTAATTATTATTAATAAAACTATGAAATTATTTATAATATAATAAGTTGTAAAAAAAAAAAAAATGTCTGGGTATATTAAAATAAAATTCAAAGTTTAAATTCAATGTTACATACAATGTATTTAATGTCATTCATAGTGTACAATTCTTTCCAATAACAAATTCCGTCGACGGCAAAAAAATTTAAAATCCCTTAGTAAGAAGAAATGAACATTAATACAATGTACATCAGTGGTTCATGCAGGGATCGAACACAGGCTAATATTAAAATTCATGTCATCTCTTGGCGATACATTTCTATGAACTATTTTGCATAACGTATTGTTATAATGAGGAGAGAAAAAAGTAAGTTGTTAGAACTTTTTTTTCCAATCCTTTTGATTTAATCTATAAAATGTGTTCAAAACAAAAACAACTGAGCCACGTACCCTCTCACATTTAAGTTATGCTGTATTTACAGTTAAATTATGTGTTTAATATGGCCCAAGACAGCTGGACTTAAAATAATTTCAAGAATGAAATAAAAGTTCATAAAATTGTAATTTGTTAAGCAAAGTGTGTCTTATTAATCCCAGAAGTGTACTATCTTAACTCGTCTTTAGAAGACATAGTTTCAAATAACAGCTGAACAAACTAGAGGTACTGTGAGCACTGAGCTCACTAAATGATACCCCCGCCTCCCATATGGTTATAATGGCAAAGTTCATGTTTTGCTCTCCGAAACCCGAAATAAGTGTCAGACCAAAAAGTAAAATAGGAGGTGCACAATGGCATTATGTATTAAAGAATCTGTGAAAGTATCATTAAATTTTATTCAGTGGTATAGGAGGAGTTGCGGATAAGAGATGGGTACCCTTCAATATTATAGAAAGAATGGCAGTGTCCATGTTTTGCTATGGGAAACCCGAAATATGTGTCCGATCAAAAAGTAAAATAGGAGGTGCACAATGACGCTATGTAACAAAGATTCTGTGAAAGTTTCATTAAATTTCATTCAGTGGTATAAGAGGAGTTGCGGATAAGAGAGGGGTACCAGACGGACGGACGGACACCCCGATCACTATATACCCTCCCAGCGAGGGGTATAATGAAGCAAAGATCAATCCATTTGGACATATTGCGTTAAAGTACGTGAAAATGGCCAATTTTACTAACTTTGGTGTGGGCGTGCTACTTCAGGTTAATATGAATAATCTCAATACAGATTAGAGTGCGATAAATTGTTTGATTTATTTTAATCGTATATAATTAATTCATTTTCTTTCCTTTTTGAGATTTCACTTTTCTTATTTGTCCAGCCATTGGTCATCCACCCCACCCCACCCAACCCCCATCCCTCCCTGTTTTGTCCGTCCATGTTCTTTTTGGCTTTGATATGTAAATTTCCTGTGTGGAAAAAAGATTTCAAATTTCTAATTGGAGAATAGCAAGAATTTTCATGGCAAATTTAAATTAATTTAAATTAGTTTAATTTCTAAATTTAAAATTGTCCTCTGTTCGATATGAATGCTATGCAGAAATTTCAGTTATGACAGGGAATGATAAAGTATTAAATTTGGTCTTTTTGTAGCTTAGAATTAAATTGTTTACAAAAGGTCAGTGCTTCAAATCATTTCAAACTCGAAGAACATGGTTTACATCAAAATGTTTAGTTGAAGCTATACGGTACCAAATGGCTATGAAAGACGGCAAGCCGTATGCAGTTTTCAAACTCTGCAAATACCTCCCCCCCCCCTCATGAAAAAAGTGGATTACAGGCCCGTAGCAACGGTTTCAAAAGTGGGGGGCCAACTTCCGAAAAAAATCTGCATGACAAGCAAAAAAAAAAAAAAAAAAAAAAAACCTAAGTTGACTAAAAGGGGGGGGGGGGGGGGCAACTGACCAAAATTATCTGACAAGCAAAAAAAAGGTAATTTACTGTCCGAATCCTGAAATTTGCTAGTGCTCGACTTTAAAACATAAAAGGGGGGGGGGGAACCTGCTTCTAAAGGAAAATTACCATAGCAAAATAGTATACTCTGATAGAAGTGGGACCCCCCCCCCCCCGCGTTCTACGGTCTACGGGTCTGGGTTATAAGGGAAGTGGATTTTTTTTATTCTAACATGTATTTGCTTATTAAGCATCTTACACAATTTAAGACGGAGTGGGTCCATGAAAATAAAGCCACATCACTGAAAAAGTTGAAAATAAATTAGCCTACATAGACATTTGTTTCAAATGTTGTTCATATCTTTAGTTTGTCACTCTCTTTAGTAATAAATTCATCTTATTATGAGCCTTTTTCCGTATATTTAGATACGACTGGTTAAGGGTATTAAAAATTAACGATTCACTGAAAACTGAAAGAAATGTTTCATAACTTTATGATATTAAAAAAACAGTGTACTGGATAAGTTAGATTGAATAGTCTTTTTCGTGGTGGACGAATTAACAGAATTTTTTCGGTTTTCATAAAATCTGAGGTCCATTAGTCGTATAAGAAAACTATATATGTGTGGATATCTTTTATTAGAAGTGCCTAGATATGTATTTATAGCCTATCATATCTGCTGCGCATTTCGCTCAAGAATACCTGAATAGTATTTAAAAAATTCAGATAATTGTTAACGTCGATCTGATAAATTATCTGCTATTATGATTTTAGTTATGTGAATTGTTTCAGTTTTGAGTGTGTTCCAGAAAGTATTAAAATTCCTTCCCACGTGACTAGGTGAACTATTCCGTCAATGTTACTCTTCGACCGTTTTCATTCCGTCATTTACTCTCTGAGTGGAAATGTCAACACCACGGAAGGGGCATTTGGAATGTAGCACTCTGAGAGAATGAAGTGTTTTTTGGTGGCCACTACTCTGACTTTTCTTGGATTTGTAACAGTTTGTAAGACTGACCTGGATTTATACCTGGACGCTCATGAAACCTATCGTCTGCTCGGTAAGCTGTTTTCCTTCCCTGCACTTTTGGTGCCATGAATCAGAAGTTGGTAAAAAAGAAATCATTATTGTCTTAGAGCTAATACTTTGATTGAGTTCCCCAGAATGAATTGGGGGTGCACAGAGATTCAGATTGATGTCAGTGGAGCTATATTTTATGGTGTATTTGAGTTTTGTTTTGGTTGGTAATGTTGAAATCATGTTTATAGTTTAGAAGATTTGTTGATATGATAATAAGCTCTCTCGGGGCATATCTCTGCTGCTGATGCTGTGTAAAGCCAACCATCTCCCCTGAGGCTAAATAGCCCCTTTGTAAAATGGTAAAATCAAAGAGGTAACGTTTGGATTAGTCCAATCCTTAGAAACCCATTATTTCATTCCTAAATAACTGAATAAAAAAATAATAACTTTTAATTGTGGATGTTTTTATGCAATTTGAAATTCTTATTTCAACTTTGGCAAGAATAAAAAAAAAGCTAAAAATCATAAAACAAGCTTTGTTAATAGCTTCATTTCTGATGAGTATACATCATTTTGATTTAAGAACATTTAAAGTTTCGATATCCTTATCAGATGTTACATATTTGATAACAAATATTTAACTCAAAGAAATAATTGACCCACTGATTATACTGTAACCCTTTACATTATTTTATTTGTAAAAGGTGTGATCCCTATATACACATTTTTCATGGTATAACAGATAGAGAAAGGGCTGGTAAGTTTTAAGAAGTTTTGCCAAATCCAATTCTATTTTAAATTTATAAACATTAAAATAATAATTTATCTTTAAACTAGTAAATGAATTTTTATTATGTCATATTAAATTAAATCACACTGAACATGCTTAAAGATTGAAAATAACTCTTTTCCAATTATTACTGTATTTATTTTTCATTTTAAATCAATATTATATTTTTTACTTAATACAATGTTTTAAATTTATATTAATATACATTATTAAAAATGCCAATTGTATGAATAAATCTAAATGTTATCAAAGATGTACATGTAAATCAAGGAAAAAGTATGTAACAATAAAGTTAAGGCAATTAATCATGGAGAGGACTGGGACTGACCTTTTTCAATGAAAATAAGTACTTGTGTAATTTATTTTTTATTTAATATTAAAATTTTGTTATTAATCCATATGTATATTTTTGATTTAGATTTTGGATAAATCTGTCATAATATAGTATGATTTTTCAATTATTCTAGATGCAGTCTAGTACACTTAAATTCCCATTACCACGGGTGGTTCCCCTGTCATTTTTCTGTATGTTTGTGTAATTAATTAAAGCAGTTTGCTAAGTTAATTATTAGTGTTTACCGAGTAATTCTCCCCGTTGATGCTGAATTAGAAGAGATTAATGCCTTATGATTGCAGACAGTTCACCTGCAATTCATAGAATTCTTAATAACATTTTTGTTGGAAGAGATTTCATCATTTTTTCTGGAGCATTGTCTGGTATTTGACATGTTTTAGTTGTTTGCAATTGATCTCTGCTTTCTACAGTTAAGCCTGTTAGTTCAGTTTAACATCATACAGTATTGTACTTAGAACAGTATAAGTGATAATCCAAATTAAATTTATATTTATCTGTAGATGCATCTGAAACAATTTGTTACTTTCGCTTCCTGAAATTTAGCAGGTAAAAGCTCTGGAATGAAATCTTGAAATATTCTTTTTCTTTTGAAGACCAAATTTCATTGATCTTCAATAATTAAAGCATAATTATGATCTGAAAGCATGCAAAATTAATATATGATAATAAATTAATGATGATGTACACACATGTAAGTGAGACGGTAAATTGTCAAAAGTTGTGCAAACTATTTAGATTAAATCATTATGTATGTAGGATTTGTAAGGACTTCAATGATTTTTAATTCTACTTTATACAAGGATGCATCCTCTGACAAGTCTTTGACACACTGTTTTTAACAATTCCAAATAATTTCGCTATGTCAGTTACAGTAAAACATGTTTATTGCAAATGCTGGTAATGAATTTACGCTTATACGAAGCAATTTTCATTCACCTTGGATTTTTAATAGTATTATGAACTTAGCAGATATATAATGAATTACATTTATAACAAAGCAAAGTTGTCTGTTCCTGGACCTTCGCTATAAGCATGTTTTACTGTACACAGATTCTTGCATTAAATGGTTAAATAAATGTAAACCTTGTTATAGATCATGATTTTCTAAATTAAAAATACTCATGTAGTTATGAATGAAAATTGGTAAAATTTATGTATGAAATGTATATTGTCAAAAACTTTCTGAATCAATGAATATCTGTGTGATTTTGTATACATTGTGGGTATGAGTTGCGATTGTGGATAGAATGTTTTGGAGTGGTATCATTGTTCAGACAAACAAGAGGATTCGTGATGCTTGAGAAAATCCTGGTTAAAGATAATACCCTGGTATTCGCTCCACAGAGTTTTGTTTTCTGTTGACATCAGTCATTTGAGTCCTGCGTATGGAGATATAATACACTCTCCTTATGTGGTCTGGCCTCTCTCAGTGTATCAAGAATCGAAACAAGCTACCTAGACTTCTGAAGGGACTGTGATTAGATTTGGACTATCATTCTCAGCGAGTATCCTTAATTCCCTTACTCTGTTAAACCCAGTTTTAATTTGCCGGGTATCCATATTTGATGTAATACTCAGCTCTGAACCTTTATGTTGCCATAATCACTCAAACAACATGCTGCAATATGGAGTGAATTGAAAAGTGAAACTTCAATTAAAATCTAATTTACTTTCCATGTTAGAAGAATTACTAGGCAGATTTAACAAACCATGCATGATGGAGGAAAAGAAAACATTTTTATTGATGCCCTGTCGGGGTTTTATACCAAGAGATGTGTCTAAAATTAAAGTACATTGTATATGCTTACATATGGCGTGAGGCTATACATTGAATTATATTACTGCAATCTTCAGTAATGTTGTCTTTCTCTTTGCTTTTTTTTTCTCCCGGATTGAAAGAGATTTTGAAGTTATTGAATGTGTATTTGGAGTGTTATTTATTTATGATAACCATATTGAGTCTGAATTTAGTGCCTCAAATTTTACAGTAATCTTCTTTATCAACTTATTAATGTAATCATAATTAAGTGCATTTCTATATTTATACATGTAATTTGTTTTTATCATATATTAGCATGTACACGTAATTGTAACTGAATTAGTGGACAAGAACCTGCACAAAAGATGATAATAAAAATATGATTCACACTAAATTTTAGTATGTTGCAGTATCATTTTTGTCTTATTTTTTCATAATGAAGTGATTTCAGTGCATATTTTCCATTTGCCTGTTCCAGACAAGGAGCACAGGGCAGGTATGACTGGTGGACAGGGGATGCTTACTCCTTCATGGCACCTGATCCCACCTCTGATATTTTGAGAAGTCCTTGTTTGATCTGCTCCAAATTTGTATGGTTTCAATGGACTTTTGAGCTTGATTACTGTTTGTTATCTTCAAATTTCATTGTTTAAAATTGCAAAGTAAAGTACATGTACTCACCTCTTGGTGGCAGACTGAATAAACAGAACTACATAAACATAAACAGAGTTTACATATTTTCAGAGATATGGGTTTGATGGTCTTTGAATGGTTTTGCTGGACATTGGCTAAGATGTTCAATGTTTTCTTAGCATTAGATGGTGAAACATTTGATACTTAAATAGTTTATAAAAGTTGAGAAAATTAATTTATTAAATATCATCAATGGATAGTGCAGGACTCTATACCATAACATTTTTTCTTACTTGTCCGTTCAGACAAGGGCATGACTGTGAAATTTACTTTTCCGAATATAATTTTCACTTCTCCAAAATTTTTTCAATAAGAAGTCAGTAAAACTTAGGTATCTTGAACATTGATATATCTTGAATACCATTGATTTGAAGTCCCAACCAATTATTCTTTAAGTATTTTACCCTTGATATCTTGAACACTTGAATATCTCGAAGTTTTTCACCAGTCCCATTGAGATCGAGAAATGGAGGTTTGACTGTATTTTACAACTTGACAAATATCATAAATTAAAATATAGTTTATGACATTTCATTTAGACTGTTTAATGATTTTTTGACACATACAGGAAATTATGAAACTAAATTGTATCATCCCATCATACATAAGTAGTTAATTGCTAAATTACAAATAATAGAAAATAGCAACAATTAGAAATAATATCAACATCCAACATCTATTTGCCTTTTTCTCCAAACCTTTTAGCTCACCTGAGCTGAAAGCTCAAGTGAGATTTTCTGATCACATTTTTACTACTCTTCTTTTCTTTTATTACAGCTTTCCTATCCAATACTGAAAATTGAAATTTCATTAGATCCTTGCAAATAAGATTTTAGGGGCAGGGGCCCTTAAAATAGTGTGAACACTATATACTTATATGATTGTTAGCGATATTGGTTGTTTGATTGTGCTTTGTTTTTATTTGTGGTTGTTTGTAACATTGGATGATAGGTTGTATTATGGTTTTGTTTCACTTTGTGGTTGTTTGTGACATTGGTTGTGCTTTAGTGGTTGTTTGTGACATCAGGTGATTGGTTGTTATACTTTGGTTTTGTTTATGGTTGTTTGTGACATTGGATGATTGGTTGTATTATGGTTTTGTTTGTGGTTGTTTGTGACATTGGTTGTGCTTTGGTTTTCTTAGTGGTTGTTTGTGACATCAAGTGATTGGTTGTTGTACTTTGGTTTTGTTTGTGGTTGTTTGCAACATTTGTTGTCTGGTCATGCTATATTGTCCCCCCCCCCCCCCCCCCCCCCCCGTTGTTGTTTGCCACATTAGGTGTTTAATGGTTTTGTTGATAGTTGATGATGAAGCCTCTGTGACAGACATTGACCAGGAACACTGGTTCCTTTTGGCATCTGTCTTTATCGGACAGAAGTGTAGTAGATGAGTCTGCATCCTATGTTTTCAGCACCTCTAGTTGTAATCAGGATGTGAGATAT